ACAAGTGTAGAAAAAAACTGATGTTGATGATGGCACCCAGGAGCTCGAGCTTCTTCCTGCGAAGGAGATCCAGAGCAACGTGTACATCAACCATCCAGTCCGCCTTGAGCAGTTCCTCATGGAGGGCAGCTACAACAAGGTATGACTGGGGCAGGGGCCTATCTGTGTGCCTCCTTCGCTTCATCATAGAATTCAGGGCTTAGCTTTCCACAACGTAGAGTTGTGCATGGGTTTACGCTACTTTGACAAGAATGTGGAATTTTCGTAGATGTTGATGTAAACGACGCCACCCAACTGATGCCCACCACTTGTGGGTTTTGAAGTATTGCTCTGTACAGACGCAGAAAAAAGCAGAGCTAGCTAGTGAGTGTCTGATGAAGAAAAGGTCATTAGCAACATCGGGATGGGCCGACGGAGGCTCACTCGTTGCAGAGCCAAACACCTAAATCTATGCGAGGTGACGAGCGGGGCGGGTCGGCTTCGACGGGGTTAGTGACAGCTTGGACGGCTGTCGAGGAAGATTAAGCCTTGTTGACGTGAAATGTTGAAGGCGAAAAACTTTGAGGGGACACTAAAGTGAATGAGTATAAATAAACACTGGGCTGAGAGTAGTTGTTGCGTCCAAACTGTGGCAGCAAGAGCTGGACAGGTGCAGGGGCACCGTTTGCAGCATCCATAGGCTAGGCAGCTCTAATTTGTGTCTCGTGCAGTGCTGATGATGTGGCTGCAGCGCTGGCCATTCCTTTTCACGACACAGTCAATTTCAGACTGGTAAAGATCTGACAAAACACTGTTGTCAATTTCACCCCCATATGTTTGTTAATACTATAAGAGAAAATTAGCATCAGAGTTACATTTTTAAATGTCACTCCAAAGTCTCCGCAGGTCACATCAAGAATTTCAAACCTCTTTTCCCGTATTTCGGCAGCATCTGTTTAGTGAATACCCTGAAACATGATGTGCTACATGTTTTGTGCCTGCAGAGGCTACTGTGCTGCATGCTCACCTGTTTTGAATAACCATAACCTAGGCTCTATTAGGCAGCGTAAAATCTGATGTCCTGGTGATCGCTCGTGGAACCCTCAAGGTGGTGGCGGCAATTTCGTCTTTGTGCGTCTTCCTCGCAGCATGCTGGTGATTCAGGCATTCTGAAACCTTAATTTACTGATATGAGAAAAGTTGTTCTTTACAGAATGCGCTTTAACCCTTTACTGCTTAGGTCTCGTATTCACAACATACCGAAAAAACTTCGGGCAGGCAAGTCACGTAATGTGTGCCGCCTTTAATGCTGGCTGTCAATTGCACACAGGGAGCGTATCTTTCACCTTGTGAAATCTAGCACTGTTTGGTGTTATGTATTTATAGGTATGTGCGAATAGTCAATTTTAGGTTTGAAGCGAACAGTGATTTGATCGAATAATTTCGAATCAAACCCGAATGGTATGTATGACCTATAAAAAAGAGGAAATATTTATTATGATTTAACTAACCTGCACAATATTTCTTTTAAATTGAATAGATGTTCTATGCAAATTTCATTTTTTTTGTTCAAGTAAGTTGAAACATCCTTGAGTAGTAGTTTCGGTAGGCTGCGAGTGATAACCTGTAAGATACTTAACGTTTTAAAATTTATTATACTAGGAGCGTATAAGCCGTCATAAAAGCTTAATAAAGCCCCGCTGTGGTGGTCTAGTGGCTAAGGTGTGTGGCTGCTGACACGCCGGTCGCGGGATGGAATCCCGGCTGTAGCGGCTGCACTTTCGATGGAGGCGAAAATGCTGAGGCTCGTATCTTCAGATTTGTGTGCACGTTAAACTCCTGGTGGTTGAAATTTCCAGAGCCTTCCACTACGGCGTCTCTCATTCGTATGGTGGTTTTGAAACGTTCAACCCACATATAAATCAACAAGCTTAATAAAATGAAGAATTGATTTGAGGGTAATATGTCTGCAGCACTTTTCAAGTAGCCATGGAGCCAGTAAACATGTTTGTTTGCCTCGCAAATTTACTGCCACAAAGTTTCTAGAATCAGTCTAGTACGAGCGGAGTTCCAAAAATTTGTCGCACGCTGCAATTGCATTCTCTCTTCTCGTCCTGACGAAATAGCTGGAAGCTGAGCAGGGAAAAAACGGCACGGCGAAAGAAATACGTCACACGCCCCTCGTGACCCTGAGCACGTTTTTTTTTCCTTCGGATACGCGGCTTTTTAGTGCAATCACGCACATCTTGTGGACAAGCGGCGGCCCCGGTAACGACGAACGTGCATGCTCATATCAGCCAATGGCTGCGACCAGAGCCATATATTCCTTCTTGGCTGTGACAAGTGATTTTTGAGCTTGTATAGTGTCATTTACCGAGGGAAGAAAGCAATTTTAGCTTCCAAAATTTTATTGTGAATTACAGGCCGTATGCTGCGCTATAATATTTGCCTCGTGTGTTCTCGGTTGTCTCGACTACCGAAGGGCAGCGTTTTCTGACCATGCTCAGTTGAGTGCTGCAGGGCCCCGTTAAATTTCAAGGTGGGCTTTGCGGCAAAGCAAATTTTTTTTAGGATAGATGCTTTCACAGCTTAGCATCCCTATATTGCAGTGAAACCATGTTTACAGGTGGACTAATATACACGTATTCGTTTATTGGAATATTTCGAAAATATTCGATAATTCAAATTCGAAGCGAATTCGAATACGCAACTATTCGTTCAAATATTCAAAGCATTCAAATGTTTGCACAATGCCTAGTATTTTATGCTCGAACCAATTGTTTTGTAGCTGATGGTGGAGGGTGCGAAGTGCGTGCAGAGCACTGATTTCTTCGTTCTTTTTTGCCTGGCTGACACAAATTCTATCTTCTATAATTTTGTTTATTTAGTGTGCACACACTGAAGGCATGGCACACGATGTGTTGTGTAGTTCTGAGGTGTGTTTTTCATTGCAAGGCTTTTGCTTGTGTGGCTTGTGGAGAATTCGTGACATGCATGAAAGTGTACTTTAAAGGTGCATTTTAGATAATTCAACTGTAGAATCATTTAAAGCTTGAAATAAAAGAATCTTTATTTTCTTCACCAGTTTTATAATTTAGGTACTAAATGGTTCATGGCCACGGTAATCTTGTAGCTTAAGCTCGTGAGCTGTGCCGTAAAGCTTTAATACTCGGGCTTGTAGAATTTATCCATGCTGTAATGACAGAATAGGGTCTCTGCCCTCCCCTCTCAGGGATTTGGGGTGTCTGTCGCTTTCCTTAAACAACCCGGCATGCTCCAGTAATCGGTCGACTACCTCTGTGGTGGCAGGCCTGTGTGGTAAGCAGTTGCGTTGCATCCTCTGACAGGTGTTCAAGTCCAAAGACAACGTTCCGGCGGCCCAACTACAGCTTCTTCATGGACATTCTGCTGGACACTGTGCGGGACGAGATAGCACGTTGCATCGAGAAGGCCTACGACCGCATCTCCAGCCACGAGGCCACGCGCATGCTCTTCCTGGACTCGCCGCAGCAGACCGACGTCTACGCCAGCAAAGTGAGCTCCTCTGCTTGTATTAGACACTGCCCGGCTCTTCGTTTGTCCGTCTCTGGAAGTCTCCCGGACTGTTAGATGCGGTGCCTTCAGCCATTAGAATGTTTCACACGTAGGAAAACATGAAAAACAGAAGCTGATGTGTGCGCAGCTACGAGAATTTAATGGCACCAATGTTTTCGGAGCGTAAGAGCCGAGGCTCTGATGTGTGTGCTTACAGAAAGCCAAGTTCGTAAAATTCTGAGCGCGCACCTCCTCCCTTTTTCGAGATATTTAAGATATGCATCAATGATGCAACAAGTGCCCCCTCACCCCTCCCGTCATTTTCGCTGTGTCATTTACCAATTTTACTCGCTTGGCAAGCACAAACAAGAACAGTGGATAAATGCATATTCAAGTAAGTATTTTATTAGATGCGGGTGTGCATTCTTTATTCTCACTGCCTTTTCCGCTGCCATTTTGAATCTCAATCCGCAACCAAGCAACAGCCCCCCTCCAAGTCTCATTTCATTATCACTCACCAAAGGGGAGGTCTGGCTCGGGCTTTTGCGGTAGGCAGAATGAAATTTCATGCCATTTGGCCCTCTCTTCAGTCTTGATATATTACGTGTGTCATGGGGCACACTGCGTGTGATCTAATGCCCGCCTCTTTTTGTTTTCTTCCCTTTAATTAGCGAGGGTGGACGGCGACGCACAACGTGTACCAGTTCAGCACGGAAGTGAAGCACACGGAAGACGTCATCTCCACGGAAGACCTAGCAAGCCAAGCCATAGGCTACGCACGGGAACTCGAAATGATTGTCTAGCAGCCCCCACAATTCATTCAGCAGTGCTTGTCTGTCCCTTGCTTTTTTTTTAATTAAGTGTATAAAATCACTTCCCTTGGTCTTGTGCTTCTTCATCATGGCTCTGATGCCTGCAGGACTGCTTTGGAGTAGGTGAGTATATGCAGAAGTGTTGTCAGATGCTCCCTAGCAAACAAACAAGTACTCATCACAAAAGAAGCAGAAACGTAATAAAATCAAGGCATTCTGAAAATTATTTTGAAGATTAAAATATATATCTCAAATACAAATGAAAGTTGGTATTGGAGTGATATATAAGCTGTCTAATTGTATTGCACAGCCAAAATATGCAAAACTGTAAGCAAAAACCACTTTTCAATGTTCTCACTGCATTCTTTATTCAGTTGACGGCACGTTTGTCAGTGCACGATTGACATTACTTGTTGATTTTCTGACCATATGTTTGACTTGAACTCTCAACTGGAGGGGTGTGCACAGGGGATGAAGGTCATTGGAGGTCGCTCAACGACTCAGTCATTGACAAACATGCCTTTGGCGAATGAGAAAGGCGCATGGGTGAATGTGATGATCAATAAAATAACTATGCATCTGCTGTGAAAATGTGAAAATACGCTAGGCTTTGTGTTCTGGCACTGCAGTCAGATTGAAAAGCTCGACTGTATGGTGCCTATACCAGTGGTGCTTATAAGCCACGTGCCTTAGAACTGTAAGTACTGGTTATACATGCGTTATGCTCGTCCTAGCTGTTTTCTATGTGTACTTTTTCTGGCGTGGCATAATTTCTATGAGCCCATGTCAATTTCTTTTAAGAAAACAAACATGCAGTTTCGCGATGTAAGTCTGAGCAAGCAGTGGAGCTTCTGTGTCACAGCTCCCAATAGACGCTTGCTCTATAAAGTTAACGTCATGGCAGACAATATAACTAGACGTTGCAGTTCCATCTTGCATCATGTCTCACGTAATCGCAAATAACGCACGGAGTTTGGAGAAAGTTAGCAAGAAGAAACGCATCGCAAGCGGCTGCTCGCGCATCTCGGCTCGCTGCAGCATGTGCGTCGCTTCCGCGATTAGCTTTGGCATTGATACATTAGGGAGTTTTCGAATAGCGTATACGCAAAGCATTGCGTTGCGCATGCCTTGTATGTTGACCTTTTGCGAACTGCCTTTGAGTGACTCTCGCTGACACTGTCCGCAACGCCCGCTAACTTAGCTTACTCTGTTTGAAAACTCCGTCGCAATGTTCATAGAGTGTCGCGCCTCCTAGCAGAATTCAAGAGCGTCTTTTCGACGATGAGCAGTGGGCAGACGCTCCCTTGTTCGGCTGTGCTATCATCAGTGTTATCGCGTTCGTAGGAAACAAACACTAACCACTTTGTATGTTTCGTGCATCAATGAATATAACGGACCGTCTGTTACGCGAAAAATCCTATTCGTTCTTGCGAGATGTGAAGTTTTCGTGAATATACGTGACAACTCGTGCATTCGATTATAGGCCGCAGAGTACACATATATCAGCTTTGCAAGATTTTCTATCGCCACCTTGACAAGTAAATGTTATCGTCTGACTTTGCAGTTGAAGCTCGCCTTTTTTTTACGTGTGTGCAGCATTCGCTTGTGCTTTTGATTTATATGTGGGGCTTAACGTCCCAGAACCACCATATCATTATTAGAGATGCCGTAGTGGAGGGCTCTGAAAATTTCGATCACCTGGGGCTCTTCAAGGTGCACCCAAATCTGAGCACACGGGCCTACAACATTTCCGCCTCCATCAGAAATGCAGCCGCCGCAGCCGGGATTTGATCCCGTGACCTGCGGGTCAGCAGCCGAGTACCTTAGCCACTAGACAACCGCGGCGGGGCACCGCCAGTGCTTCTGTAGTGCGTGAATACCACAACTTTTCATTGTACGCGGAAAGTAGCGCAGGCTCGTGATTTTCTCTTCCGAACCTTGGCCAATGCTGCGCTGCTTGATATTTACGTCGGTTGATAGACGGCAGCACACTGCAAGCGTTTCGCTCACTTTCTTCATGGATTTGCCTCTTGCCGGGTGTTTGCCGTACCCAGATAAATGTGGCGAGTGCGCTGTATTGGTGTTGTGCTGGGTTAGTGCCGCGTTGTTGGTGTTATTAAAGTCGTTCGGTGGAGAGAATTTCCTCAGATTACTTTCAGCAGTGGTGTTGAAAGAAACCGTCTAGATGTCGACGATTTGTCACTGGACGTAGAACGCACCGAGAGTGACAGCGGCGATGAACAATCAGCTGTTAGCTAGCTCTCGAGCAGCGAGTTGCACTTGGCGTCCTTTCGTAAGTCACTTTGATTGTATTTATTGTATGATATCCTTCAGCGAGCTCAAAATAAAAGCACGGTGTTTCTTGTACATTTCATGTAGCCAGTTACAGTGGATATTAACGAACTGCCAACACGCTCGAGCTCGACCTGCGAAGCGAAATGGTTAGAGCAATTGAACACGCAGTTACAACTGCAGTCCACGTGGGCCTTCCTGCTATCTTCTCCCGCACCTCACCGGTACCGTCCGAACGGCGTTGTTTGTTGTTCGAAGAATTGTCACAATTTTGACGTTGCGAAAAGCGTACGTGTGTATTCATCTCGATATCCTTGTTGCGATCGCCCTGGTGGAACCAGGAACACCCGAGTGCAGTGAGTTGTGCACAGTTGGTCTGTGAGGCTGTGACACAAGCGCTACTTAATGGGAAGTTATAAATGCTTGTGTTCTGTTGAAGAAGCAACTCCATAGTGCTTACAGCGCAAGTAATGACGACGGCTTCATATGTTTGCACACCATCGACATGTTGAACATTCGGTCCCATGCAGTAATGACGGCACTCGCTAAAGGCCCACTACTGTGGCAAATCCGTCAGGCAGGCTCGGCACAAATAATCTCAGAGTGCCGTTCAGTTCGTACATCGATTCGAGTTAATGCAGTTTTTCACAGCACGCGCAGGATTACGCAAAGTGTCGTTGATGCACGGTCAATCAGCTGTCACTACTGTCAGCCGCGCTCGCGTTCACAACGGCCGAGTGCGCCAGCAGCATCTCGGCGTTCGCACAGGAAACGCCGCACAAGTCCAGAACGCGTCTTCTCGGCGCTAGTTCTTGCGCGAGAACAGGACGACAAAGGGACAAGAAGTGTTGTCCCTTTGTCGTCGTTTTATTGTCGCGCGATAAGCACCGTCATGTCATATCAACTATAGCCCAAACTGCCACACTTCTCGGTGCTGTTCTCATGTGGCGTTGATTCAATGAACACAAAGAGAACAAAAGCGGTCTCGTGAGCCGGGAACCCATGACAACGCATTGCCTGAGAGGGAAAGAGCGAGCCGAGACATGAGTGGTGTCCGGGCATCCGAGCGAGTGCCTGCACCGAACCGTGTTTCCTTTTACATGCAGCGACCGCGGGTTCACTTGTATCTCTAATATATAATATATTGTTCTTTTCAATCGAACCTTGCCTCAATCAATCATTTCGGACATCACTGACACCACACCACCCTCCGCACTGCGGCAATAAATGAGGTAGTGGACGTTTAGCAGTTATCGTTTGGGAAGGTACTTTGGTACGATATCGTACATTCTTATCTGGGACGATCAAGAGTTAATCCGGTCAAGAGTTCATTCGCCTCTGCTTGCGAATACAGTTAAAATAGCTTCTTCTGCTTGAAAATGCAGTGAAAGTAACCTTCATGCTTTGCAAACGTATGCGTTACAACATAAAATACGCGTAATAATGCATAGGCAGTCTTATTAAGATGTTTCTTCGCCTCTTGAACGGCTCCTTCCGCCATCTCATTGAACCGTGCATAGTGCGGACTTGATGTGGTGTGCTCGCTGTCACACTGACTCATGTATTCAGCGAATTTGTGGATGTTAAATGGTGTTTCGTTGTCGCTGATAAGCTTACGAAGTAGAGCATGAGTAGCGACGACTACTTGGCAAAACATAATGACGGCTTCAGCGGTCGTGTGCTTCAAGCGTGGAATCTCAAAGTAGAACGAGTAGAAGTCGGCAATGACCCCATATTCCTCTCCTTCGTGACAGAAAAAATCGATGCCAACTGTTTGCCAAGGTAGTTCGGGTATTCAGTGGCTCATCATCCGCACTCATTGGTTCCTGCTCTTATGTTTCCTGCTGGGTGCACGTCGATCTGCTTTCTTTTATTGAATGTCTGCTGACATGCCAGGGCATACCATCTCTGGCGCGTTGCTTTATCTTTTTTCCTACTTCATGGGCTGCATGCAGGGGATCTAGGACATGGTTCCTCATGCTGCTGGGAATGATCAGTCGGTTGGATTGGAAGAGGATATCATCTTCGACATGAATCTCGGCATGGTACGGCCAGTAAGCTTAAATTTGTTCAGGGATTGACCTTTTGTCCTCTGGCCTTGTGGTACTCGCATATTCTTTCGGGGTACATAGGTTGTTGTTGTGGAAACCTTGAATGGCATCCGTAGAAATTAGTATCTTCTGTATGGCGTGCTTTGCTTGTAGCTTGTAAGGTAACTCTTCCCATGGCTTTTTTCTTGTGCCTGAAAAATGTGTTAAGCAACGAGTTGCTTGCTTCCAGTTGCGTGCTTGTAACTGCTTTCAGCAGCTTGAGCGAAATCACTGAACAGTTCGCTTCAGTATCAAAGTTGCAGAGCACTGGCTTGCCCTCAGTCTTGATCTCGGACTTCCAAACTATACTCGTTTGCATGTAGGTTTGCGAGACAGCACGAAGAAAGTAATTTTCTTCGCATTCAAGGCTATCATCGTTTAGGCTTTTATCTGGGTCGCGTTCCTCTTGCTGGGCTTCTTTGACCGACAGACACTCGCAAAGTGGTTTCGTTTCCTGCACTTCTTGCATGTCTTGCCTTCTGTGGGGCAGGATTGATTTTTGTGGAACGCGTATCCACATTTCGTGCATGTTTTGTCATTTTGAATGAGATTGATTTCTTCAGGGCAGTCCGGACGTTTGTCAGCATTGCCGCGACTCTCTTGGGTCGTTTTCTGTATACTTAAATTGCTTCGTTCTCTCGTAAGATAAAGTTTGACGAGCTTGTGAAAGTCTGGGTTGTCGTTGATTAATTGGCTTTGTAGACGTGTTTTATACCTAGGTTGATGCGACTCTTCAACATTCTCTCTTCCAGTAGTCCATACTCGCAGTTGCGAACGAGCATTCGGAGTTCTGTGAGCCATTCAACAAAACGCTCTCCCGGCTTTTGATCTCTCGTGCCAAAAACGAAGTCGTGGTACGCGAGGTTGACAATCAACTTACAATGTTCTTCAAAATTTTTTAACATCTTGCTACGTCATTACGGTTCACTTTAAATTCGGCTTCAAAGTTAAACGTGTGGCAAATCCTCTGTCCCTCTTCTCCAATTATGACGAAAGATGTTGCCGCTTGAACTTCTTGGCTTACCGGAGAGTCATGTCGCAGTGGCGTGGAGCTTGTAGTCGCTTTACCAAAGTTTTCACGCTGTCCAAAGATTTCGCATCGTATCAGGGGCTTCGGTGCTGGGAGCAAAGACGTATCAGTTCCTGCAGCCATGGCAAGGCTGAACGGGTGCGTAGCTGTCAGGGGAAGGCTTCTGGTTAGGCTGACAGAG